TTAAACATGGACATTATAAACGTAGAGGCCTCATTGGACGCCGGCCGACATGCATAGAGGGCGGCCATCTTGGATCAGACCACAGTTCAGACAGCTGCTGTCAGAATGAATAGGAGGCTCCGTAGATCTGATTGTAATCACATGAAAGAGTCAGAGATAATATTACAATAATATCTTTCATGTCACCACTTAAAAGAAAAAAAAAAAATACCTTCATTTAGATTACAAAGATTTAATGAGATTAAAAACCAATTAAACTGAACTCAAACTGGATGAAATCTAAAAAGTAATATATTTTGCAATTAAATATTAAGAAACTATAGATATATTAAGTTTTATATTAAGATGGTTTACAAATATATATAGTTTATTATTTAGTATTTTAAAAGATTGCTCTTTAATTATGAGTATTTTGATCTATAGAGGAAAATTTGTAATGTGATTCACAAAAGACAGTAAAGTTATTTTGTTTTTATTAATTTTAGGTTTTTATTTTTTTGTCAAATCGTAGTGAAAAGTGAATTTGTGTCTAAAGGCTTTTTGTCCTTAGAAGTCAAACTTCTTCCAAAAACCTTTTCAAACAAGTTTGTATCATTTATTCATCTGTGAACTTTTGTTCTTTAAGTTATTCTTTAATCAGTATGTGTATATATATATATATATATATATATACATATACAAAAAATTCTTGATAATGTATATGTCTATGGCGTTAACCAATGGTGACCCAGCTGTGTGGTAATGTGGCCTTTTTTTGAAGTTAACAGCATGTCTTATTCTTGTCATTTGGATTTGCTTTATTTTGAAGTTATTTACTTGTTTTATTTTTGGTTGTTGTGTTGCATGTTTTTCTGATTTTGTTTTGAGGTGACGTTACCACTCATACCTGGACACGCCCACAGCAGCGGCACAGGTGTTTCCCATCAGCCAAGCAGCGTGTAGACTGGGATGCCGGTGATTAAAAAGGCAGCTGTTTGGTTGAAGGGATGGAAGCCGGACAGAGTGGGTGAGGGAGCGGCAGACGGAGGGATCTGGAAACTGGTTGCCAAAGGCGTGCTGGAGAGAGGTGTGTGCTGGAGGTGTCCTCACTTATGCCAGCTATGTTGGAGAGGAGCGCGCGTTGGAGGGAGGACCATGCCCTCCATTGTGCCAGCTAAGAGTGCGCCCTTTAAACAGACATTTCCCTGTATTTTTTATTTATTAAAAAAATTAGTTGTTTTTTTTAAGAGAACTTATCCTTTTAAAGGAAAATTCCGGTTTTTAACACTTTTAGCCCATTTTCTGTAGTGTCCAGGATGAAATCGAATGATCGACACCAAAATTTT